CTCACAACTGCAGCTCCCTCACCCTGCTCCCCCGCCCCCCCCTCCCTCCAATGCAGCCAGGCAAAGCGGGCGCCCACCAGCGAAGGGGTGGCCAGCCGGCCGGCTTCGTCACCATGGGAACTCTGTTTGCATTTCCCAGCGTGGCTAGGCTGTTGCCTTTCAGCTGGACTTCTGATATTGAATCGGGTTCACAGGACTCGTCTAGAATAACGATTATCTGTTTGCGCTGACTTATTGAGGGAGCTCTCGGTACATTTCCGCCTCAAAGAAAAGGAAGGAGCCCAGCTTGGCTAAGCCACACAGCGGGTAGCTCCGTTCCCCGGCTGGCTGCGTGCTACGGGACGGATCTTTCACTGGGTCTTCTTACACCCTCGCCTTACAAAAACATTTATAACACTGTCCCGCTAAAACCAACAGCTCTCAGGTTCAGAGAGCATTGCAGTTGGGCCATCACCAGCCCACTAAGCTTAATCCAGTCAGTTATTACGTTTTTGCAGTTTGAAGCGATGGCCCACAGCCACGGGACAAGCAAACAGCCCCTTAACTAAGACAGCACTGGCACCTGTCTGATCAGAGCATACAAACTTAAAATTACAGGGGAATGACAAACAAAACATTCAGGCAAATGCAGCTCCAACCCTGCCCCCGACCCAGAAGACCACCTAAAACTTTGTTGTGACAAAGGGTTTAATTGCTTCCTCTAATTTCAGCTATTTCGGGCCTAATATCCCAGCTTCATAAGACACCACTTACCCTTTGCACAACTTTCTGCAGCCCTGATGAAATCAAGACCTGGCACTCGGATCCAACCACACCCACCTTTGCCACCACCGTCCCAAGGTCAGCATCCTTCATCAGCGGATAGCATCCTGCCACTCGCGAGGGCTGTACCCTACCCTTCGCCCGGGTCACATGAAGGACTGTGTCATCTGAATGCCAGCTGCCTCTTGATGCATGACCCCTGTAGCATGTGTCAGCTGTTCCAGAGAATGTTTCCTGAAAGCCTGCAAACTTAAAACGTCTGGAGGCAGGGACACACATGGGCAGCGACACATCCACTTTCATTTGCCATTTGTATTCCCTTTAAAAAAAAATCCCACACAGTCAAATTCTGCTCCAGGAAAAAAAGATTTTTATTCCCTGGCGGAGGAAAAAACCCATTACAATTTATCAGCCTGAAGAAAAATTACAGGCTAAAATTGCCCTTCTTTTAAAAAATCATCACAAACCAAATTTTATAATCATACATTTCTGTCATAAGAAACAACTTCAAAATTGTACATCAAGCTTTTTACAAAGCATTTGTATTTATAAAATGTCCTTTCACATTTTCACATATATTTATGACTGCTACTCCAGGACCTGAGGTCACATGTCCCTCCGCGGAGGTTCATGCAGTCCTCTGATGTCCGGGTATGTTGCCTGGTATCATTCAATGCTTCAATAAATCAGAAAAGGGGGTGAGGGCTAGAGCATGTGAACATTTGGCTCTCTAAAAGCGAAGCCCCTCCCCTTTCCCTTTTATGGCAGGTTAGAAGGCTTGGAAGAGGCAGCTCAGTTCGTCTCTATGTGACAGGGGTTGCTGCCCTGCTCCACAGCGTCTGTGTACACTTTCAGAAAGTCCTTGTAGTGTGGCGCACAGCCAAGCCATGCCTCTCCAAAACGCACTGTCCCAGTGAAGAGGTACTCGCCCTCCCCAGGCCTCACCCCACACTGGGGGGGCATCCTGACCCGCCCCGTCCAGCGCCTCGCCCGTCCACCGCCCGACACAAACACCTGGCTCTTCTGTCTGTACAGTCGGCTCAGTGTCACTGTAAGGGATGTCTGCTCAACCTCCTCCTCCATACCCAAGATGCTGCCTCGTGCCACTGCACAGAAAAAGAAAGAATGAGGTTAATTTCCTCAACGACTGACCCTGAAAATCATTGGTTTGTTCTGCTTCTGGAAGATGGCACATTCAGACATAAAGACAGAGTGATTTGTAATTATACAATACTTGCACTGCATTGTCAAATATATTTTGTTTACAGTTAAAATGCATGATTCCACTGCAGTTTGAAAAACGGAGCAAAACCTGGCAAGAACATCATTTCTTGCTGTTGAATAAATGTAATGCGATGCTGCAGAAGCCGACCTGAACAGCACCCAAATTCCATGTGTCAAACCGACCTACATTGTTGAGCTAAAGAAGAAACCACGAAAGGGCTGAGATGTGCTCCTTCGATTTATCACTGCAGGAGATGGACACATGGATCTTACCGAAATCGCTGGCACATGCAGCCAGCAGGAGCTCCTGGTCACTGCAAGGCTGGCAGGGAGCTGTGGAGATGAGAACAGGCCAGAAGTGAGATTCAGGCCAACACACGCATACACACACGAAAACCGAGCTCTCTAATATACTCCACATTTACACATCTGTTTAAGAACTCAGTCACACAAATAGATGCTCTCCAAAACTACCCTCCCCCAGTACTTAAATGGGCTTCAAAACACAGACGTTGCACTACATGAAGCACTGCTACCTTGCAAATCAGTTGATCTTGTTAGCAGGTTTTTAGCTCAGTTCAAGACAACTTTGGTGTCACCAAGAGCAACCAGGTAAACCAACCACTAAACTGAGGGGCGGAACTCACAAAGAAGTAACACCCCCCCCCGCAACCTGGCTGGTAACATGCGGCCTGCCAAGTTCTCTTACAAACACAGCCAGACCTGTACCACTTGCAAGCCCCTGTAGCTCATCTCATTTCTGTTCAGTCTTATGACAAGTTTCACCAGATGACATGCACCCTTACACTGAGCATGTTTCCCCATCAGAAACATTAATTCATTTCCATCGTGTTGATTTATCTAAAAGGGTGATGTCTGACTATAGGATCAGTAAAGGAATCCATGTGAGACTGCAGTTTGGAGTATAACTTATTTCAAATGCTGCTGATGTCGTCAAGGTCAAAGGTCACAGCCCCCACAGCAGCTGGAACACCCCACGTCCCTAGTGTCGCCTCTCCAGGTGTACCCCCCCACCCCCACCAAAAACAGGGTGCTTTGATGTAGATCAGTCTGGCTTAGCCCAGCCTTCTCTGGGCCCAACGCCTTGATCCCCCCTCCCTAAGTCATACTCAGCTCACATGTCAGACATGAAACAGAACCACAGGAATGCCCTGGCTTCCACACGCCCGTGCCTGGCCCCCACATTAATTCCACTCTATTCGGATCAGAACCATCTTTGGGGGGTGGGTGGGGGAGTGACCCTGCAACATCTGGTTTCAGACATATTCTGCCATGAATATGAAGAGAGAAACTGTATCTTGATGATGTGGATCAGAGGGATGCAAGACCAAAAAAAAAATTCAATGGCGGACGGCTCAGTGACTCGACCCCCAGACCACCTTTAGATCCAGCTGCAGGCCTTATTTCTCCCAACTCACTGTCCCTCCACTACTCTATGACGGCCAGCAGCATCAAGGAGAACAGGATCCAATGAAAATAAATAAAAATCCTGCTCTTACAACACTAAGGCTCATCAGCATCACTCACCAACTCCATGTATTGTGCCAGCATATTGAGCATACCCAGCACCATGCGGCCATATTTTAAGCAAAAGCAACAGATGTACCGATCATATTTAGAACTGCTGTGAAAGAATAGAAGTTAAAAAAAAATCCCCTAAATAGCACCTCTGATTGTGATCATGTGGTTTTGGCAGGTAGACTACAAGAAACATACAACATGAGGTTTTTGGAAAACCTCATTCACAAAGGCTGCTACATAGTGCTCACACTGCCGTGCTTTATAGTTTTGAGGTTTAGAGAGAAAAAAAAAAAAAAGGCCTGGTTCATTCGTAGTTCATATCCATTTTGATTTAACTATTAAACTCCACAACACCCTGCCTTCACAAATGAAGCCAATGCATTTCCCTCCAGTTTTTCAAGAATAAAATGTTCTGTTGTTGCTATGGGACAGACAAGGGAGAGCGAAGGATTATTGAGCCGCCTTAACTCTCAGCAAGTAAGGTTCATAACCAGGCCATGATTTCAGATTCAATCCACCCAGTTTATCTATTTATTTATTTTCAATTTCCATAGTCTTAAGAGACAAACAAAAATCATAAGTTTCACATGGCTTCTGCAGAAGGTAACTTACCACTTAGGGAGTCCTGGTCAGGCCTTAGTCTTTCATTCACCAGTTCATACTGGAAGGCTGTGATCCTGCGGCTGATGTCCCGGTGTGGTATGGCCTCAATGAACAGCGCCCCCTCCTGGATGCCGAAGCAGTGCACACGTCCCAGCGCTTGGTCCTGTTCCCGCAGGAGCAGCCGCAGCTCGCCAGCACGATCCAAGTAGATGTTGGCACCCTGTGAGTCCCTGGAGGGCTTGATGCAGACGGAGAGGCGGCGGGCTGCTGGGGAGGCAGTGTTGGGCCTCAGGTTGATAATTATGGCACCCGTGGGGTAAAGCCACTCCAGCGCCCCCTGGGAGCAGCGCAGGTACACCTGCTCCACGTCCTGCATGTGCGTCTCATGCATCAGTCCACTGTGAAAAGTGGGGGGGGGGGACAGTTACAACTAGGATACATTTACAAGTTTAGGCAGACCTCTCATGCACCAAGCAGTGCTAAGTGTACTCAGCTCCGAGTAAGCAGTGAGAAGCGATTTGTTCATGTTAAGCTTTGCGCACAGACTTTAATAAAAAAAAAAATAATGCCCAACATAAGAGACAGGCGTATAAACTGCTGCCTTACACGCTTGACTGCACTTTCATACTTAAAATAAGATCGGGCCGTAGTTAGATCATTGTACCACGTCCACATTTCCGCGAATTCGTATTAATCGTATTAATCCAGCGAAATGTCGCTGGGGAAATGTGGCCGGCTCGTTACCTTTTATTCACCCTCATATTTTACTTAGAGCGCATCAAGAAACAGGTCTATAGTGCCCATAATATCCCAGGCGTTAGAGGCACCGCAGTCTAAAAAGAAATAACTTTACAACATAATGGCGAGGGTGAGGAAGGACAGTGAAGGTGTGTCAGCTGCCCTCTGAAGAACATGAGCGGCGAAGTTCAAAAGAGCTACTATCAAGCCGGTTTCCACAGAGGTGAGAGCCCGACGCGCCCCTGTGGTTTATTAAACAGGCAAATGAAGCGGAACATGCGGTAAAGCGATAAGCACCAAGAGGTGAGGCGGTTTATTGAAGGCGATCTGCGTTAAAGGAGCGTCGTGTGTAGATGTCTAGGCAGCAACTGCGACGTCTGGCTCCGTTACTATGCGGCTCGACTTTCATCCGCAGCCAAATCCTTATTTTGGGTTTTCTCTGCCAAAATGAGAAAAACGTGACTAACGACGCTTGATTTAAAATGCTATATTCGCCTTTCAGACGACTTTGTTATTTAAATATCTGATTTAATGGTCACTGAACATTAACCTGGCGGCTACTCAAACTCTCCCACGCGCGCGCACGCGCCCGGCCTCACGACCCGTCGCGCGCGTAAACGCTGAGCGATCGACAACACCACGGCCAGCTTTTTATCTGTAAATCCCCATTTTCCTCGCATCCTACTCCAAATACGCCGTTCACGGCATGCCGTTATTTAGAAGGTTTTAAGCCTGCTGTTAAAACGAACAATTTCACGAACAGATGTGAGCGTGAGCCCCAAAACAAAAACAAAAAAACGCTTTATTCTATACGACACCTTTCTATAGTCTCCATAAGTACTTCTGATGAGGTAGACCCTGAGCCATAAATTTTCTTCTTTGTAGATCAGATAACATCCACACCACATGACGACCTGTTGCCCAACGAACAGCTGATTGATGTGACTTGCGGACGCTCCGATTCATTACATTACTGTGGGAGGACAATTTAACTGGAAATCAAAAAGCATTAACGCAGGGCGTGCAAGCTACCACGGCCCAAGTCCAGAGTTTTATTAGGTTGTTTTTAATTAAGTCCGTAAATTATTTTGTGTGTGTGTGTGCAATTAAGTCTAGCAGAAAGATGGCGTAATTGGAAACACGTTACTGGTTTAGATTTAATGGGCTGCACTTCTTTATGCCTTAGAACTTAAAAACATTCAAACCAAGTCCATATGCGGCGGTTAAAGCATTTGCTATTCAGCATGCAAAGCAGATTCTATTAATTATATGCAAGTTTTTGTGCACTGGAAAGCTTCTTGATCTCAGCGGACCTCTCCTGGACGGAGGCGAAGGATTGCTGACCCAGCGATTAACAGACTATTCCAAAAACATGGCGCTTTGAAAACGTTTTCACCTACGATACAATGTGGATTAAACAATCTGACACATGAAGTATGCGCTTATTTACTTAGGCTATAACACGCGCGAAATACGGAAATCTCCGCTTGTAAACTCTTGACAAAATCAAACTCTGAAAAACTCTTCGCGGCTGAACTACAGAAAAACTATTTATGCTATCAAAGTAATAAAAATTTATATACTTTGTGTATAAAAAAATTATAAGATGCGTGATCAAACAATAAGAGCACACATATGTCGAATAATATAAAAATACCACTTGGAGCATAAAGAATGTTTCGTACTTTAACTCGCATGAAAAAAAATAGTGCCAACGTATGCCAGCGGTATTCTTAGTAAAATCTTCCACACATACCCATAGCCATGCAGCAACAAATAAATTCTAACACTGAATCACATTAAAAACTTTGTCATAAATCCTAAAACAAAACAAAACAATCGTCAGAAGTTAAACATCCGCATCTCTTTAACTAAATTAAGCACTGAGAAAAGAATGTGAACAGAAATCTGGAGAAAGAAACATTTCACAATTTGCCCTGAGCTCTTACATTTCAACTAAATCCATCTCAGACTAAAGACAAAAAAATGCGCATTTTATTAGTTGTGTGTGTGTGGACTGAACCGCTAATAAACTTCGCTGGGACTCAAACCTCCTATGAAAATACACCGAGCGGCCAAACGTTTATTTGTGCAGCCCTGTAAAATACTGCTACGTGTATATCAGTTGTAATTTATTATTTAACTATTTTCAGATGGATCTCAGACTGAACGCTGATTCACCAAACTAAGTCCCTACGAGTGAAAATAGTAGTACAGGTCTATTTAACCCAATCGAGACGTAATACAGTTTTAAAAGAAAGCGCTTTCAAACTCTGAATAGTATCTCTGAATAATCTCGGAATAGTGCCTGAGCCAAAACATAATAAGACAACTTTCTGGGTATTTTTATAAAATTACAAAATCCATGGTTTTCAGTATTACCACGGAGACTCAAAGGCAAAGCAATTATACTAAGTGAGGAGGGTAAGAAAATGCATCACTTGAGCTGTAACTGTGAGCAAAGTGTGCAAGTGTGCCCTCCTAATCCCCGTAACTCACCTCCCTCTCCAGCTGCACTGATCACTGGAGTATTGCGATAGGGCTGCCCCGCATAGCAGCAGTAGCTCCAGCAAAAACGCAAGAAACGTCGGCAGCATAATCGCCCCACTCGGAGATTCAGTCGCTTGGGATTCTCCCTATTACAAATTACGCGTTCGTCCTGGCGTTAACTCCAGCTACATCGTGCTCCCTCCACCGACGTGCCCTCACCGCGTCCCCCTTATCCGCAACCGGCAGATCTACGCTAACATCTCAGCACGACCATCCAACGCCACGCAGAAAAACCTTCTGCAGCCCGAAGACGAAAGCGCGAGCGAGGACAGCCGCTTTGCCCCAAGCTCGGCGATACGTCACTGCCCCTCGCGCCAGCTGACGGGATGACGAAGGCGCGGCGCCCGCCAGGCCACGCCCACGCACACTCCGCGAGCGCTTAGTCGCGCGACCCTAGGATGGGAATACGAAGAAGTCCAGATAAGCTTCCTGCATAACTGCGGTCTTACCGCTTCCTGCCGCGTCCGAACACGCTTTGCGGTCGGGCTGCGGCATCGTGTGCACAGCTTCGCATATTGTTGTATGGTGTGTATAGGATCAAGTGACATAGCCCTTTTATTCCAAATGCAGGATTTAGTGTCTGGATTTCCTGGCATCTTACATAGTCCGTGTGTTACATTTCTGCAGTAGTTTCCTACTGTATGTAAAGTAACGAATGCATCATGTGCGACACCCTTGCTTTTTTATTCCTTTATTAAGTTCATTTAATTAGTTACAACTCATTTTTGTAATACGTGGCCTTCAAGACAAGTGTTTACATTAATTTGCATTCCTGCTGTCACTTGCCAAAATATCAGCGTGGCGTATTTTAACGTAAACGTAGTAAAGATCATTTTTGGCCTGTATCTCGCTCCTTGTTTTAAACTGCTGAAAATTACTAAGTTGAGTGTGTTTACTCCTACTAGGAGCAAACCACTTAACTATGTCCTTAAGAGATATCGGGCGCACTATTGCTCTTAAGCACTGTTTAATTTTCCAATTTAGCTTTGGCTTTACTCACAGATAGACTTTTATATGTGGCTGTCCACGATCATTCTCCATTGTGTGGGTTCAGTAAGAAACCACGAGTGTTTTGACTTGATTGTGTAAGTGTAGGTCACATTTGGTCCAGATGGGGTGGTTTCTTAAGGCAATGGATCGTTACCGTAAGTTTTACAGCACAAATACTTATAAACATATAGCACCTGCACAGGATGTCTCTGCCAAAAGTACAAAAAGCCTTGGTTGGGATACATTCTGACTTTTATAGTCAAAACAAAAGCTCCAACACTTCACTCAGAGGACAAAATAACCCAGAAGGAACTTGTTGGGCAGGAGCAGCTGGTGCTGCCAAGACAGTTACTTTTCCAGTCGAATTTCATCCTTCTGTGCCAGTTTTTTTCTCTTATTTTGTTTTTCCTGCCAGCCAGGCATATAGGCTTGACAAGGCTGTCCGATGTGGCTGATAGCAATGACACAGCCCTCCACCCGGGGACTGCGTGTCGTAGCGCGTTGTCAGCGTGTCACCGCGTGACTTGTGTGTCGATGAAGGATTGTCTGTGTCTGTGAGTTTGTCACCATGTGTCAGTGAGGAACACTTTGGCAGTTATGGGTCAGGGTGGTGACATCTCCAATGCCATTGATAAGTGTTAGTACTGTCACATGGCCCGACTTAGACCCCCCCTCCCAAATTGCCTCTTCCCCCTCTTTTTGTTTACCTCCCCTCCCCCACGACTTGTAAGGCTCCTGCTGATTTGGCTGAAGCACGAAGTAAAATGGAAACAGCAGCCCGGATGGTGAAACTCGAAAGCAAAGGTACTAGTCTCAGCCATGCCTGTTTGTCCTGTCTTGCAAGTTTACTTTATCACGCCTTACAGCTAAAAGGGGCGGAATTTAGAGAGGACTGGGTGTGTCCTCTCATTGCATATTGAAGATTTCTTCTGAAAATAGTACAGTATTATATATGCTTGTAATCTTTGATTAACTTTGTGTAGCCAAGCCCACACTGAAATTTGGATTCAAAAATTGATGTGTTCATTGTAACATATGTGTTCATAATGTCGCATATATTTCTGTCGTTTGGTAAGATTTGTATTATGAAATCATATTTGTTCTCATCTCATCATGTAGCCTTGTTCCCCTTGTCTTGTGGTCGAAAACATTCATAATTTCATAAATGCAACCTGTGCTGTCAGATTTGTATAATGTATGGGAATTAAGCTGTTGTTTTAAAATGCTTCAAAAACTGAGAAGCTCCAAAATCTCCCTCTTTTGTATTTTTACAGTTTCTTGCCCCAGCAGGTGGGACTACAAGGACTTATGAAAGCTGAGGATCGAAACTAACCCCCCCCCCCCCATAGCCCTTGGGAGATATGGGGAGGGGGGTGGCTTTTGCAGCTGCTGCAAGTTATTACAGGGGATAAACATCATGGTGTCTGGGCACACCGAGTGTCACAGGACGTGGTCTGTTGACCAACTAATTCAACACCAAGAACAGTACAAGAGATTCAAAATGAGTACTTCTGCTATAGACCATTAATTGCTCCATGGTATCTGCTTTGTACCAACACTGACATTGAACCATACTGGCCACATGATCTTTCAGACAAAGCTTTCCATAATTTCCTTCATTTCATGATCAGCCCTTGAATTATAGCTCTCCGAAGCTCCTTATGAAAACATAAACATGAGATCTGAAACTGGCTCATTGAGTCAAGCCACTTGCCAACTACCAGAACTTTCTGGTGGGTTAAGGAGACGTCCTCTGTCCATGAAAGGGTGAGTTTAAAAATATGGCCTATCCTTCAGGCGCCACACGAGGGTTGATGGACCCCTTGTGTTCGTGACAGTATGTTGTCGTTCTGTTTTTACGCCACATATTAATATCAAGGACAGAAATACTGAAGACATGCTTTCCATGTGTCTAAGGTCACCTTGGGTCACCTGCGTCTTGGTGTAATTTCATCCCTACACTAATGCAGGAACCTGGTCCGTCGTCAAGAATAGCAAATAGGGATTCTGCTGGTGAAGGGGTAGGTTCCTGTCATCACCAACACATGTCATTTTCTGCTGTTAAGATATTCATAGATACCAGGTAGAATATATATGAGTGTGGACAGGGGCACAGTCACTTACCATGAGCTTGTGGTGGCCCTTATTCACATGTGCATTCATCTAAGGCAGGGGTGGCCAATCTTATCCATAATGGGCCGGTGTGTGTGCGGGTTTTCGCTGCAGCTCCCCAATTAGATTACTAATTAGAGGACTGATTGGGTGAAGAGTCCTCACACCTGGGTTTGAACAGCTGACCTAAAGGTTATCCCAAAAACCTGCATACACACCAGCCCTTTGCGGATAAGATTGGCCACCGCTGATCTAAGGGGTCCTTCCAGATGTTTCTGAAGAATTACAGCAAGCACTGATCCCAGAAGCCTCTTCTTCTTATGCATTCACGCTGGAATGTGTTTTGATTTTGAATGTCCTCCAATTCGTGAATTCTTCCTGTATGAGTTGAACTGGAGATAAACGCTCTCGGCTGTCATGGCCAAGGAAAGTCCTCCAGAAAGTCCATCAGTAGAGCTTCTAAGTATATGTGAAGGCAAGACTACTGTTTAAGCACAGATGTATACTGTGCATCATGATTAATAAAAATGGAGTTGTTGGGTATTCTACACGTACTCGTTGGATCAGCGAGTCATCCGCAGAAACTGGCACTGGACCAGAAACAATGGGATGAGATGGGAGGGAGACAGGAAGGAAATAGAGGAGAAGAGGAAGAAGGGAGGGCAAACGAGCAAGAGGTTGAAGGGAAGGATCTGCCTGCAGCCTACTGGCTTTACAGGGAAGAGGGTTAGGTGGTACCAGAACACCTCAGCCCAAATTGCTCAGCGGCAGTGTGCTGGCTGACCCCGCGACACCCCCCATTTCCGCGACACCCCCATTTCCGACACTGTCTTCTAGACAGTTACCTCCGGACCGTCAGGAATCTGCACCGTGTGGCCGCTTCACACCGGGATCCGTTGTCTTTCGGTTTTAGGTCCTGAAATGCTGCGGAGGTCGTGCTCGGGG